AGACTTCTATACAACCAGAGGAGTCGCCCCCTGCTGGACACTAGAGACATTGTTCATGCGTCTTTGCATTCCCTCCAAGAACACGGTGTCGAACAAACACCTTTCCCTCCCTCACGTGCACCTTCCCCTCGAGGGAGCCTGTGGCTTTGTGATGGCTGGAATTCCCATAAATGTCCGATCTGTACGACCGAAATCAAACCCACGGTGTGATTTTTGACATTTCTTTGGGGCCGTCTGGAAAGGCAGAAAGGTAGAAAGGGAGGGAAGACTGGGAGACATGAAGCCAAACATCTGCACGTCTAAAACTTTCACGTCCAAGAAAATACAGCCGACGGTCTCAACCACAAAGAAAACGACACACCTGATTCTCCTGCTCCGCTTCCCCACGTCGTCCTCTGCTGCCTCGACTAGAACGCTTATAATCTACCTGATTAGAAATCAATATGGCGTTAAACTAAAGTTCAAGGTGTACCACAGTTTCTGTTAGTGTTGTACCTGTGAACAGGAGCTGTGTTTCCTCATTCATCAGAGGAATTGCCACTTCCTTTCATTGTCTTTCATCACAATAAATACAATTATTTAGTCAGCGTAGAGTGTGATGTTCACGTTACAGTGACTCTCAGCGCCACATTCAACGGCCGTTTGACCACCGAGAGAACAGTTTCAGTCTCATCAGTCATTAGAGTCTGGGACCGGTCCCTTCACTCATGTGTTGGCTTCTACTTCATCTCTTAACACGCTTATTCAAATCAGTGTGACGCTACCTTCCTGTTTGACTACAACACATCATCTCTACATGCACAGACTCGTGTCAAATGCTCGCACATAAACATTGTGAATAACTGCGTGGAAGCATTTCACCTCGTCCGTCTTCACTGGTTTAGAATGTGTGTGTTCGGCATCCCTGAGAACAGAGAGAGGAGGATTCTTCCACTGCATGGTGGAGGATCGGGGCTAAACTTAGTGACTTCATCACAGCGCTGGATCTCCACTTCACTGCTTCCACTGTGTCGTTTATTTGTGGACTAAACGCGGCTGTTATGGTTCGTACAGGAGCTCTCTGTGCAGGTGTGAAAGAGGCTCTTTACCCTCCGAGCACCACAAACAAACAGATCATCAGAGCCGGAGAAAAGGGACCTTTTCTAAAGCTGAGCGCTCTTTTCAAACACTCTGGTGGTGCTTTGTGAAGCGCCTACACTTCAAGACTATCAGCAGCAGCTGAACATGGGAAGAGAGCCGACGTGAGCTATTTAAGGAGAGCACAGAGCTCAACTAAAGCAATGACAAGCCAGCTGTGTTTCCACAGCTTCATGTGAGGAGGAAGAAGAAGAGGAGGAGATTGTAATTTAACTGGCCTCACTCAAGCTCAACGTTTACATGAACTACCTCCTGGTTTCAGGGATAATCCCTCTGATGTGAAACCTTGATGTTATGTTTTGTTTAATAAGACTGTTTACAGACCCAGAATGCATTGCAGCAAAACTTTTTTTTGCCAATGGACCCAAAAACTGACCCCAGGCAGACCCAGTTAGGTCCCAGTACCTCAGTTTGGGTACCACTCATATATTTAGTCCTGAATGCTTTAACTTTACTCTAAAACTTTTTAATTTAAGTGTCATTTGTTAGACACTTTATCAAGGCACAAAGTTAAGAGTTAGCAAGGACCTTACCCCAAACAACTAGCCGGTTAGCTTAGAGTTTGATTGACAGTTAATGAAATAAAGTAGTTTGTACTAATTAACAACACATTATATTAACATGTGAAACCACAAACGGTTCAGTCAAACACTAACTGACAGCGATGTGAAGCAACACTTTGATTTGAGCTAACATTAGCAAGCGATGCTAATTTTACAAAAAAAAGAAGAAGAAAAAAAAAAAAAGTAGAAGAAGAAGGAAAAAAAAAAGCGATCGTTTTGTTTACCTCTGCGGTCCGGAGCGGGGGCGGTTTCTTCAAAGCAAGTTTGAAAGAACTTTCCATGGCTCCGTTCATTTTCATAACTTCGGCTTCTTTTTATAACTCCTCACTTTTTAACGTCTCCTCGCTGCTCTTTTTACCCGAGCCCAACGCACTCACATCCCACCGTGGATTGAGCCGAGCTCCGAACTCCGGGACATGGATGGAGCTCCTTCTTCTTCTCCGGGAAAAGAAAAAAACTTTGTAAAACTACTGCGCGTCCGAAACAGAATATTCCACTAAAAGCGTGACAGGAAGTAGAATCTACGGGACGTGTAGTGTTGAAATCTGTTCATCTTTGGGTCACGGAAGCGTCCACCAGCCTCAGTCAGATCCAGCAGCTCAGATTCTCTTTAGATCCCTCCTCCTGTGGAGCGACGACATCTGTCTGCACGGAGACCGAGCTGCGTTCAAGTGATGTCGGAAATAAGAGAACATCAAATAATCCTTTATTAGTCTCGCAGTGGGGACATTGACAGGATTACAGCAGCATAGCGGATAGTGCAAACAAGAGACATAGTACAAAAACAAGATCAATACAAGTATTATGAATAGGTAAATAAGTATTAAAACAGTATAGGATATTAAATAAGTAAAAAGTCCATAATAACTAAAATATTATATATACAGACAGAATATGTTTTGTATTGCACAGTGGAAGGTAAAATAGTGGAAGGCAAAATACTAATAAAGGTTGGATTTATTATGTGTTTTTAAAAATATTGCCAGATATAAATATTTTAAATATTGCAGTGTAAAAATGTTTTAAATATTTTAGATATTGCCAGGTAAAAATATTTTAAATATTGCCAGATAGAACTACTTGTAAAGAAAGAAAATAAAAGGATGGCCCACAAACAAGGATTGAAGGATGATTTATTGTCATTATGTAACACAGGGATGCAACAAAATTCATTTTGCAACTCAACAAACACATGACGATCAAAACAAAAACAGTAATACATTCCTGTCGTGCTTTTTTTACTTTTTATTTGCATCATAAGGAATGTAAACAGCAGCAACAACAATTCTTTGGGCATAAAATATGTCCGACATCATCACATTAAAAACTCAACATGAGGAGAACGTTGTCCATCACCTTTGACTGATATTTGAGCACCAAGCATCATGATGTGAACACAATTAAAATAATAAATATTCAGATTTACATTTATTATAAGGCAAGGAAACAGTTTGATTGCAGTTAAAGCCGATTATCTAGATTGCTTTTTCTTTATTACAAACAAAATGTTCCTGCTGCACTGGAGGTTTTCTTCAAAAGAATTACAATGTGCCTGAGACGGTTTTGTTCAGTTAGTAAAGCAACTAAGGAAAATGATTTGACATAATATAACACATTTTAGCTACAAAGCAATTCAAAGCGCTTTACTTAAAACATTAAACGGACATTTAAATATATTAAATGTATTGAAGGCGGTCATTTAATTGCCAAGAGAATAGAACATTTAAATAAGCTATAATAGAATAAGGTATAAAATACAAGAATAAAAGTCAGTGTGCAAGGTTAGATATTATATAATAAAAAGGAAAAAGAAAAGTCTTAAGCCTCGATTTAAAATAACTTAATAATTATAAATATTTAAATATAAAACAACGTACAAAAAGTGCTCTAACAGTTAACGTAATATACATGCATTAGCCATGGTCTAGCATATCAATTAAATCTGTATCAGCTAAACTGAATGCAAGAGTATATTTTGTTCAATTTTTAATTTGTAAGACAAAATAGTTGCTATTTATCCATTAATTTTCTTTCTAAAGTAATCTCGCTTGAATGGCATTTAAAAAACAAACAAACACGTTGACTAGTTCTGGTGGTCTAATCTCCGAGCTTTGAAAGGAGTCCTTTAACGCAGCACAGATCCTCCCTCTGACTTGTGACACCTCTGGAGTCAAAGACCACAACACGCGGCATCAGAGTATTACAAAGAAACGGATCACTCGAGACATTACAGTTAAAACTCCAAACACTGTGTAGATATTTTATCTAAACTTAGACCAACCGCTTCATTTAACCACCAGTGGTTTCAGTGTCAGGACACTCCTTCCTTTTATTGCATAACTGTGTGTTCGTTTCATTTTACCTTCCGTGCCGCATAAGAGGGGTGGGGGGGGTGGAGCCAGTTCCAGGGTGGTAAATCCAGAAAGGAAAAAAGAAAAGGTGGTAAAATGTGTGACCCAGATGGTTGAAGCAGAAGAAGTCAAACCACCACTAAACTTAACTAAAGAGCTTTTATTGTGTAAAGTTTACACTGGTTTATATTTGTAAAACACTGAATGGATTATAAATAAATTATTTTACTTCCCACTCCTCTCATGTGGATTAGAGCTCTTTAATCTCTGGTTTCACACTTTTTTAGAATAACTTTCCCTCTTTTAATAGTGAAAGAATTCCCAGAGACACAGATTCTTAAAATCGCCATCTTTATTGCACAACATTCCCATAAAATTGGGAGAAAAAAATAATTCAAGGAGACATTTCTTAAAAAGAACATTCTGTACAAAATACATGGAAATAAACGAGTATGTGCAGTTTACACGAACCGTTTGACAAACCGACTAAATAATTTACATATACGCAAAAGAGGCATGAGCACAGATATGAAGTCACACCTCTGTTTAAACATGACGGCTGGTACACAACGTGGGCCGATACAGCGGAGCGTCTTCAAAACGCAGAGACAAAGAGACGAGGTGAGCTTTAAGACTCGGGTCAGCGACGGGGTGCGATCTGAGTTTAGAGAAAGAAAGAAACGCTGGTTTTAGGCCTGAGGCACATTACAGTCTTTCAGGAGGATTCATAGAAATTTGGGAAAGAAAGTGTTTTTTTTTTTTTTTTTAAATCTGCAATTCACTCTCCAACATCATGAATTCACCGGACTGAAAGCAGTGAAACTGTAGACACCTTTATGGATGATCATCATCTTATACATCAGCTTTAACTCACCATACTTTGTCCAAAATCAAACATTTAGATGCATTTCCAATGGTGTCAATAATAAAGCATCAGAATAAAGTCTGTGGTTTGACTTTGTGCCCGGGAGAGAATCCAAAGAGAGAGAATCATCAAATCGCACCCCGACTATAAAAACATAACATAAATCACCCGCCGACGTCACGGTCAAAAAAACCCTAAGAGGATAAAAGGTGTGCTGCTGTAGTTTTGTATTTTCGTGAGCATAACCGTCGTAGAAACACGTTTAAAAAATAGTGTTAACCGATATATATTATATAGATATATTTCCATCCACGGCGAGTTCCTCTACTCTCTTTCTGTCGTCGAAGTCGTAAACATCGTAAAAAAGGAGGCTATAAAAGTGTGAAAATATTTCAGCATTTTTTGGTTTTAAAACACGCGGATGAAGCACGTTTTTACAGTGGACAGAGACTCTTTGTCCCGTAATCACATTCTGATGCGAAAGAAATACGTCTGTGCGACGACGATCTGATGGGAATTTAAAGAACACAGCGTGGAGTCCTCACGTCGTCCTCCGATTAAAATAGAATAAATGTGAGTCGTCCACGGACACACGAGGTCTGAGGTAGAGCTGTACCTGTGGTGAGAATGTCAAAGACACTTTTAGACGTTTAAAAGAAAAGAAAAAGTGTTTGTGGATCCAAAAACAAAAAAATTTAAATTTGTCGTTGAAATATCTCAGGGAAATTTGGCTTGTAAACAAAAACATGAAAATAAGTGAAATAACATAATTGCCGTGAGACTGATGATGATCTCGGTGATATTTACCTCAAAGTAATGTTTCACGTGTAGTCCGTTGGGTTTGAGATTGTACAGAGAGGAGAAAAACAAAGAGCAGGCGGAGAAACTATATCCACCGTCATCCTGTCGACGTCTTTAAAGTTTCATTCCTCAACTGGAAAAAACTAAATGTATAAAGTCTTTGGCTTTTGTGTCCAAAAATAAAAAGAGAGTTTCTGTGTTCAACATTCAAACAGCTGGAGGAGGTCAGGTCAGGTCCCCCCCCCCTCCCTGTGGTGCAACATCTGCATTACACCACGTTGAGGGCTCAGGCCTCGGATGCTAAAGATCCCACTTGAACCATCAGGACACCACGTCAGGGGTCACGCTTGTTGTGTTTTTTTAGTTTTAGGGGGTCCAGAATGGGTGCTCCTCGGGTCTGACGGGGGCCTCCTCTGGCCTGACGGGGGACTCCTCGGGTCTGACGGGGCTCATAGCAGGATCTGGGCCACGTAGGGGGAGTGCGTGCTGGCCACGGCCGCCAACAGGGGGAGGTCGCTGGACTCGATTCTGCAACGAGAGCAAAGACTAGGATGAGATGAGATCTGCTTCAAATAACAGGAACAAACATGTCAACAGCACGTCCGTCTGCATTGTTTACACCCATGTTCTCTAGCTAGCTCTGTTGTTCCTCTTAGCCTTTCTGAACACACTGCTATTCATCTCAGAGCATTGCTGCCACCTGCTGGTCAGAGGAGGAGTGTGACACCAGTGGCTGGACTTTGGCTGCATTTGTACGTAAGTAATATGATCTGAATGTTAAGGTTACAGGTGAACTTCTTACCCTAACACCATGCCCAGCTCCTTCACGTGGACTCTCGTCTGGCCTTTCAAATACTCAGCGAGCATCTTGCTCTTGAAGTAGATTTCCTGCAGGCGGTCCTCGAGGTGCATGATACACTGAGGAGGAGAGGAGACGGTTAGTGAAAGTGTTGATGACTGCACACTGATGAGTGTCTGACTGAGAGGCGTCCCGTACAAAGTTGGGTGACAGGTTGAGTTTGTAGAGCTGCTGAGTGGACTGCAGCAGGCTGGACACCAGGCTGGACACCAGGACCTCCTTCCCCAGCTTGTTGACATCCGTGGCTCGTCTCTGACTGCTGGCGACCTGCACCGACCACTTGTCTGTGTCTGCTATAATGCAGACGGCCTCCGCTATGGGCTCATCCAGCACTGGATGCTGCAGAGGAACAGAGCGTCCAATGAGACACGTGCAAAGAGGACGCAAAGAAGGGGGAGGGGCGGGTCTCCATGCTGCACACGGCATTCCTTTACCTGAACAGCGTGGGATAACTCGGCCATGAGGCACTGCCGCAGCTTCTCGTCGGTGGGCAACCCATGCAGTACAAAGTCTGGCACGTAGGTGGGGCAGTAGCCTCCGAAAAGAGAGCGGCCAAAGTTGGCGATGCTCGGCTTCGAGTAGTTCTCCACCAGCTTCGACCTATAAATAAAAAAACATGAGATGAGATGTGTTTTTGGTTGTTTTCAAATGATGAAGATAGATCGTCCTGCTCACCCCGGGAAGGCCACCAGCACCTCCTCCTGCCAGTCCTCCGTGTCCTCGCTCTCGCTGTCCCCCAGCGCGCTGTCCGAGCTCTCGTTGCGCGGTATCTCCCAGTCGTTGACGGGCGCAGCCTTGTGCTTTTGGTCCTCTTTGCTGTCGCTGGCGCCGTCCGGCGGGACGAGGACCGACGACAGTAGACCCTTGTCAGAGGAATCTGTGGACCCACACCTGCACCTCCTCTGGATGTCGGACAAAGCGTCCCCCTTTCTGCCGGACCCTACGTCTTCACTGCCTGGAGCTAAACAGACACCCACACCCTGACCCCCCACTGCTCCCGAGGGGTCCAGCAAGGCTTTGTGTGTCCTGTCCGTGGTGCTTGCCTCCCCCCGCTTGGCCACATCGTCTATAGTCCTAGTTTCCACGGGGTTCTCCTGGCTGAAGTACTCGTCAAAATCGTCCACACAGGTCGGCATCCACTTACTGGACACCCGCTGCAGGGCCGGAGCCACCTTGGTCTGCTTGGTTTGGTCCTCCGATGCGCCCGTGTTGCTGGTCGCTGAATCCGCTCCTCTCTGCGGCAGTTGCCGTTGATAAAGTTGCCCGTGATGAAGAATCTGCTGCTTGAGGTGTTTCTTGTAAATCACCTCCACCTTCCGTCTGCGGCTCTCCGTGTCCGACTCGGGAGACATAGAGTCGCCGATGAGGAAAGTGACTTTTGTTGCCGGCTCCTCCTCCTCTGTCAGAGTCAGAGCCATGGGCCACGTCACGGCGTTTACGGGCATCGCTGGCACCGGCACCGGTACGGCACCGGTCGGGTTCTTATCCGGGGGCTTCTTCTCGAGAGGGATCTCTAAGGTTCGCGGAGCCAGCACCCCGTCCATCCCAGCCTCCGGCCCACAGTTTGTAACCTCTGTGGTGACGGGAGCCGGGGATGGACTTAATGAGAGGGTCGTGGGTACGGACGGGACGATAAGTTTCAGGTCCCCCTTGGTCTCTGCATCCAGCACACAGACCTGCTCCCTGGGGGACGCCGAGCCGACGCGCAGCACCGTCTCCAGCCGGGCCTCGGTGGCCAGCGGGCTGCTGGACTCCCTGCGCGGCTCCCCGGGTTCAGCTGCTTCTGCGGTCCTGATAACAGGGTTGTTACCCTGGCTGAGTCCGGTCTGTAGCACACTGCTCCCAGACCCTTGACTCTTGTCCTCCTCCTCCTCCTCATCTTCCTCCTCCTCGTCTTCCTCCTTGGGTGTGTCCCCGGCGCCACACTCCACCTCCGTGTCCGTGTACGTGCTGCTCTGGAGGCTGTTGTCTGAAGGGTAGCTGCCGTCCTCCGCCTCCGCCTGCCGGCCGTGGGACAGGTAGTCCCCGCTGGGCTTGTGGACGGTGACCAGGACGTAGTCCGACTCCTCCACCTCTCCTTTCCTCAGGGAGGTGGTGATGAGGGAGCCGGGCAGGACGATGGCCTCGTCCTCGGCGCTGTCCAGCATGTGGGTCTCCAGCAGCTCGGAGCAGCGGATGAAGTAGGTGAGGACGTAGAGGAGTCTCTGGACCAGCTCCTGTCGGCGGCCCACCACCACCGTCCTGGACAGCCGCACCGGGGACCCGATGGACCCGTACAGGTCTCCTACACACGGTGAAGGAAAACAGAAACATCAGTATTCATGTTTCAGATGCATTAAATAAAACCATTTATTTTTAATTGATAAAAGGTTTTTAAAAACAAATTCTTCTTTTTAACATTTTGCACAATTTGCTGCAGGTTTGCAGTTCTCATCTCTGAACACTAGGTGTCACCGTGACCTCACTGTCTACACGTCTCCCATGTCACTTGAGGTGAACGTCTGGACTCAACACACTCTGTACATTGATGTCTGTGTATTGATAGAACATCATGACTCGCTATATCTGCCTACAAACGCATCAGTAAACAGAAACCAGAGACTTATCACGTTGGTTTAGTGGAAATCTAAACACAGAAGTATCCAAATGACATGCAGCTCTCACACTGTGTGTGTGTGTATGTGTGTGTGTGTGTGTGTGTGTGTGTTGTATTTGCCTCACCTAGCTGTGCCCACAGCGGGTTGTAGGGGTGCGTCTTTGCCAGCATGTCGACGCTCTTGGAGGAGTGTTTCTCGAGGAAGATCTTGATTGGAGGCTGCCCGTTGGGCATGACGGTGGGCACCCAGGCCAGGTGATTGGTCAGGATGGCCGTCAGTAACGCGGGGAGGAATCTGGAGATATCAGATAATGGGGTTGGTCAGCAGAGAGTGGATTAGAATCCAAAAAAAAAAAATAATGGTACTTCCTGGCTGGGTGCACTTTCTCAGACCTTGTTTGGTGAAGAACTACATGGAAAACTTTAGTTTTCTTGCTGGACTGGATACCATAAACATCCTTTGTTTGCAACACACACACATACACAGAGTGACACACACACACACACATCTATCAGCATGATTCACTTCTCGGTCCTGACCACAAGCGTCCACTTCCCCTCCCGTCTCATGACTCAGCACAGCGTGTAGTGAAGTTCAATCATGTGCTAGAACACCGTCGGTCATCACGGGGGCGCTGACGGGACGCCTTTAGAGAAGACGCGATGTCATGCAGTAGGACGAGTGGTTGACCGGGATACTCCATGGTCAACATTTAGAGAGCATGAGAAAGTTAAAGGTCTGTAGAGACTTACTGTAGAACGTGTAGGGAATCACTGATCACGGTTAGAAACGCACACTTTTTTTTTTTTAAATGTTAGCGATTATTCCCGTCCTTCAAGATCAACCTGACGTATTCCCTCTGTTCAGTGCACTGACTGCTACTTTAAATCAGCCGTCCTGAATGCGGGGAGCTGTGTTCAATAAAGGCCTCGCTACCAATTCAAATATGTACAATCAGCAGTGGTTTGCCGAGGCTTTGTAACGGCAACAATAAGCAAATAGAGACTGGCAGGGACCTTCTCATTCACAGCTCTTCTGAGGCACACGAGTAAATGCAAAGAGGGTGAAACATTCAGTGTGTGTGTGTGTGAAAGAAAGAACAGACTGTGTGGAGAGAACAGAATGAATAGTGTGTTTCTCTGTTGACACACTCATCCGGGAAGTACAAGCAAAGACAGAGGATGTCGTACGTGTACAGATTGTAAAAACCTCTGAGGCAAACTTTGTGATTCATGAAAATAAATTTAATTAAATTGATATTTGTGAGCTTGATTCCTGTCTGCGTTCTTAATGGGGATCGATAGAGAGTCTGGTTTCCACAACAGGTGGGTTTGCTGTTGCCGTTGCTAACTCCTGCAACATTTAAAGAAACCCGGAGAATGACGGGCGGAGGACACTCAACTGGTTCTTGGAGGCCTGCTCCATCAGCAGGGAGAGCTCCCTCATGAAGTGACCGCAGAGCTGGTTCTTCTCCGACGCTCCGGACATCATCGTCAACCACACGGGCTCGGCCACCCGGGGCATGGTGTACAGGTCGCAGATGGTCATCCTGCAGGTACAGGTAGGGCAAGAGGGGAAAGAGGGCGGGGGGGGAGCGAATGAGAGGGAAGGAGGAGAAAACAGACAGAGGGAGGACAGACTCGTCATTGTCTCTCGAGGGTAAACAAAAGAGATCTCAGTTCACAGAGCTTCGCTGTCTGCACTGGGAGACCCTGGCTCTGTGTGTGTGTGCATGCGTCACACACACACACACACACACACACACACACACACACACACACACACCTCTTGCCCTGTACAGTGCGCTTGTGTGTATATCTATCTGTATGTGGCTCAGTTGGAGTTTCCATGGAGGAGGGCCGTGTTGGTGAGCACGTCTCGGCTGGAGGCCAAGCGTCCACACGGGGGGCAGAGGGGGAATCTCTGCAGCCCGAGGAATGTGGAGAGTCGGGCGGTTTTTATGACCACAGCTGCTGGATTCTGGCGGTTTTTCTCAAATGCCAAACTGTACAGATCTGGGTCTGAGGCACGGAGGAGTCACAGCCTCCAGACTCTGGAAAGAGATGCTGTTGCACATCAGGCCGGCCTCCACACACTGCCTGTTTGTAAATACAGAGCTGCTCTTCTCTTTTGGCTTTGTTTTGAATGGTTTTATGTTTTTATTTGTATATTTTGATCTTATGGTTTTACGTTATTATCCTCCTCCTCCTCATTATTGTTGTTATTATCATTATAACAATCATTATGTTGTTGTTTTACCGTTTTGATTTTGTTATATTCAACTGTGGAAATATGTGTTATCAGCTTATTCTTATTCATTGCGAACATATTATGTATTATATTAACACTTAAAAGTGCCATAAACTTCCAGCTGATCTGGTCACGAGACTTTGCAGGTCCGACTGATGAGGAATACAAACGGTGTTCAAGCTTTAGATTTAGTCTCACTGTAAACGAGCTCAAAGAGCGTAAACAAGGTTCCCTCACAGCCTCTGAGCTCTAAAGACCCCGGTGAGAGAGGAGATGTGGACCGGCTGCATGCTGAGAGTAAACACAGGTGTCGCAGTGAATGTGACCTTGACCAGTTCTCCAGTATTCAAGCCATTTCAGGTCCACGTATTTGTCCAAAGAAAACAGGAACACCGTGTGCATTCCGCGAAAAGAAGAACTAATGAACTGCATTGCAATATAGTCAATGTTGCAAGTTTTGGTGTTGTAACCCTGAAACCTGTTGATTAATATCAACACAATGACAGTTACTGTGGTAGTGTACTTTAAAGCAGCTTAAATGTGACGCAGAAATACATCTTTAGTTTGATTAAATGTTGAGTTTCTGTCACCGTCTCGCTTTCTCTCCCTTCAAGAAATAAATCGTTCATCAAGTGCATAAGAAACTCAAGACTCCAGATGACATTTTGCATTGATTAGTTATTTAAAAGAGTTAATAAATCACTGCTGAATCATTAACAAACTTGGTACTGAGTTGCTATAGGAGGGTGAATCAGAACGGACATGACGTCACTCGTACGTCATTGGGCCAGCAGCATCGAATGGCCCGACGATGCTTTATTCATTCCTGTGTTATAAACGGGTCGACTTGTCCGCGGCCTTTTAGAGCCACACTTGACCCCACCGGGTCTGCTGATGAGTGGGAGGACTCCACCTCTCTGCAGCAGCTGTTCAGGTGAACTTTAAAGAGCCGGGATGTGAAATTAACCTCAGGAGCCACACTGGAACCTCTTCACTATGGAGTCACCGCTGCTGACCTCATCCACGAGCTGCGTGTTCTTTAGAGGATTTAAAGAGCAACAACAAACCTTTCGTATGATATCATACGAACTGCTGCACGAGGATGCGTTGGCTAAAATGGGAACTAAGACTCCTAACACTGCAGTATTAAGTGCTTCTGCCTCTCTCAGTCCTCCTGATTTTCATCCAATCACAAAACCCTCGCATAACCCCAAATATGCTGGAGTGACTTTGATGCACACATGCCTCTGCTAAGTCTGCAGCTTATCTCTGTCAGCATGCGTGCAGGTCCACCCTCCAACTACGTCAGACCAGAGTCTCCCTCAGCCTCCGGCGAAGACATTTCACTTTCCTTCCGTCATGTTCCATGAAGTCAAAACCTCTTAATGGAAAAGGTGGCTCCGCGTATATATAGCTGCCGTCTGAAGGTGAGATTTTACAGATATTTGGTTTGTCCCCGGGCAGCGGCTTTTTCATCCTGCTGGCACTCGCATATTATTTACTATTCTGGTGCTCGTGGCCGGTGTCTGAGGTAGATAGGGTTGCCACTCTGGAGGCTTGAGTTGCCGTGACCGGCTGCCAGCAGGCATATGACTGCAGCGATGAGGGGACCTCTGCCTGCCAGCGTGTGTGTGTGTGTGTGTGTGTGTGTGTGTGTGTGTGTGGGGGGGGCAAGTGAAAGTAGTGGTGGGGACAGGCATGCGTACACACATACTTAAAACAAGTTTGTGTGTTTTATGAGTCCCAAACACGGATGCAGTACTGACAAGCCAGTCACACACAAGCACGACCGTAGAACCTAAATCAGGAAGATTTTAAGATTTCATATTTGATGTCAACACAAAGAAAATGATGAAATCATTGTTGGAACTGCTGTTTCTGGTAAAATACGCCTTTATACGGGGTAGTTGCGGTGCAGAGTTGAGAAGTAACCGGTAGAAAATAAGCTTCCCTAAACACAACCCAAAAAAGCCCTAAAGCAAGAACTCCCAGCATGCACTGCAGTCACAATGCAACATCTGTGGTGTGCTCACGACAGGTAGGGAACTGTGAGTTCCTCCTTTTCTCCGAGGCCGTTAGCATCACGCTATCCTCTCACATAAACCACGGTGAGTATTCATGGATTCATTATTGATCGTTGCGCCACCTCAGCACACCAGCATCAGTAACAGCATCCCTTCACCTCCGTACATTTAGCTTGCGATGCAGAGACACCATCTCGTAGCCGGTGCCAACAACACCACAGCCACAAAAAGCAGCTTTTTCATTCACTCGTTAACTAACTAACTAACTAACGAAGACGTGTTTTAGGATACATTTATGACAGCTGTGTATCACAGTAATGTGACCGTTACATGAGAAACAAAACACAGTGTACTGTCTGCTTAGTCAACTTAAAATAAACACTAAATGGTGCCCACTGGCTTAAACTATGCTTGGAATGAAAGGTATGTAATAAAATGCTTCTCATGTCGTTAAAGCTGCCAAAATGTTAGAGTGACACATGATTAGTACGGGCACTTGGTGCCCTACTTTAAAGGAACATTAGAGGACTAGGCTTTGGATAAGATGCATGTTAAGCAGTTCATATATACGGCTGACTTAAAGAAAGGAAATCTGTGATCTTGCAATTCTGACAAACCCGAAACAAACAACTTTCTAGGAGGCGTTATTGAACCATTCTGGCTCCACCGAGCAGGGGATGTCCACGCACATTAAGTCCCTCAAAAAGGACATTAGTTTGCACAAATAATAATAATTCCTTCTGCTTGAATAGGGTCATTGCAGACAGCTGGTCGGTGCTCAGGCCTCAAGTATAAAGTCTGTGATGTGACATTGTCTCCATAAACACTCCCTAAAAAAGGTCAGCTATGCCGTAATGTGCAATCAACAAAAGCGCCAGTGTTTGCAAGTTCAGTCGTGAGCGCAATGAGGAAGAAAAAAAAATGAATTATGTAATGTTATTGTCTGAGAGAATGCGAGCCGTTGTCCAACCTGAACTCGTTGAGTCCGTCCACCATCCGGCTGTAAGCCAAGGCCCTCTGGCTGGCGTCCGCTGACCGCCGACTCATCTTCATGGCCTTGAGAGGGACACAACACACACACATTGAGCTTTGGCTGAAAAAACTAAAAGTTACAGAAGACATCCAGAGCTTTGACGGACGGCAGTAAACACAACCCCAGGTAGGACCTTTGACTCCGCTCATTACAACAGCGGAGGGATTATGGCTTTGCATTCGATGCTGTTCATACCTCACTGCTAAATGGATCTGACTGACAAGCTTATCTTCAGTGTCAACAAAGGCATGGAAGTCACCTGTTCGATGGCGCTCTTGAGTTTGTTCATGTGGCTTTCAAAGAGAGGGAAGTGGGAGAAGAAGAAATCCTGGAAGCGGCTGTTCTCCTCGGCATTGGGCGACAGCGTGAAGATGACCCCGATGGCGATCTTCTTCTTCCGGGCCACGCCGAGGCTCGGCACGCCGCTTTCATCGGACATGTTGAAGCTCTCCTCCACCGACCTGATCGGGACAAAGTACACGAAGGAGTTCAACTTCATAGACAACTTCATAATCCTGATTTATGTGTCCAAATGTTTACTCGACATGCGAGTCTTGGTAAAGTCGTATCCTACCTCACAACACTAATTAGAATACTGCTCAGGGTTTCCTTTGGTTAAGTGTCTTTCTTGTACTTTTGCAGCAGTTTACTACAGCTTAGATATGACCAGTAATGCTATGTGAACAAACCCCTCTGTGTTAACCTTCAGCACACAGAGAGGAATGAAAGAGTGAAGTTTGGTGTATGTAAGAGCTGCTGAAGTGGAGATTTATCATCAGAGTCTGAGAACAAACTCATTTAGAGGAAACGTCCTTTAAAGAGACGTTTAGTTACATTACAGACATTTAGAGACTCTACAGGTGAACACATGAACTCATAGATATCACCATGAAACTTCACCACTTCATCACTCACATTAAGAGGATGGTTTTATGTGTTACAAGTTTTATGAAATGTTATGTTTAAAGATGCAAATGAGGCGTTATGTAAAGGTAACTTTTGGTGAATTTAGGAGAAATCTACAGACGCAAATAAACAAAGAATTAAAATAAACATCTAAATGTGCATTTAGGATGCTTTCTCTCCACTAGTCTGATAGTAAACATGTTATGGAAGCAAAATAGCACAAAATCACCAGTGAACTAAAAGCATGTTTTTGCCTCTAGTGACTCCATCAGCAGAAACAAACACTTGGGCACATCAGTTTAGCAAAGAAAACACGTCAAATGATTTGTAATCTGAGCTCTTTTACTGCTGCAGCTAGTAAACAAGACGCTTTGGTGCACTGGAGCACCGGGAAGATTGGAGCACTCAGAGGCTGACAGCTGCATTTACAGTGACGGGCCAACATAGCATCCTGTCTAGTCACAGCGCACTCTCTGTGTGTGTGTGTGTGTGTGTGTCCAGCTGCCTGCTGGATTCTGAGGAAGTCCGAGCAGGATAAACTTTATAGAAGCCCGTCAGAGGCCATAAACATGGAGGTAAAAAGGGCAACTGGGAGGGACTGCTAAGTGTGTGTTTGGGAAGTCGTGCAGAACAGAGTTTAAACACGTCTCTCTCTCTCTCCAAGTGTGCACACAATCACTGTACAATAGGTTTGTGTTCGAGGATGCACCTCACATAGATGTGTGTGCATCTAAATCAGTGAAAACCCAGAGTATTGATAAGTGTGGCTTCATTTCCCTCCAGTAGATGCTGAGAACTCTCGTTGTCTCAAATGTAATAAAAGCCTCACCAGTAAAGAAGGAAACAGCAGCAGTTCATCACAACATGTGACCAACAAGCAGAACATCAATCTGCAGAAATAAAGGTTTAGACTGTTTGTGGAGCAGCCGTCCGTCCTCGTCCACTGAACAGGGTAATAAATGAAAGCTAATCGCTCAGCTAATCGCTCAGCTGTGAATGTATTTTAAAGATTTTGGAACTTTTTGTATTGCTGCTTAAGAAAGATTTGTTTACCGACAAGAATAACAAACCAATGTTGATTCTTTTCCTGTTTTCTCACAAAATAATCATAAAGAACCGATAAGAGTATCGATAAAGAACCGAACCGATACCCATCACTAGAGTGCATGTTTGTATGCGTCTCACCATCGGGGGAAGACACCGTTTTCCAGGCTGGTGGTCTGGCTGCGGAGCCATCGGCGCTGGTAGCTGGACGCACAGCTGCTGGTCAGGGAGGAGCCAGGAGACGGGAAGGGAGTGATCAACAGGCTGCTCAGAGAGGCTGGAGGAGGGGGTCAGGTGGGAGGTGGATGACGGGGAGGAGAGGACGGTGGGAGGAGAAATTAAAAGGGAAAAGAGAACAGATGAAGGGATTGGTGTGTGACAGAAGAGAGGACAAGAAGGACAAGAGTGAGTCAGACGATGAGTGTGTGGGGTTACTCATTGTACACACACACACACACACACACAGAAATCTGGAGGACAATATGTGTTCTTACTAAGACAAAGAACAAACATCTAAAGCGCAAAAAAAACAAAACCTTTCTAGCCAATTACCGTTACTGCTTTCTTAAGAGATTTAATATCAGTGAGCCTGCTAGCAGTCACATGCTGCAGTATGTTGGACAACCTGGCTTTACACCCGGCTTGACATTTCAATGACAACACACACACACACACACACACACACACACACACACACACACACACA